AATTGAAATGCCTTGAATTTTATGATATTCGTAATGAATTCATAACAGCAAGGGAAATGAAGAAGTTTGCACGTGCATGAAGGTTAAGTGACACCTTCTTGTGCATGTAAACTTCTCCATTCCCCTAGATTGTTGTCATGAATTTATTGAGCATATCATAAAGTTCGAGGTATTTCAACTGTGTGGGATGTGTGATGACTTGTGGCATTATTGTCAATGTCTTGCATCGACTTAGGAATAACCTTTCGAGACTTGATAGTGCTTCTTCTTCAACATTAATGGATGTAAGATTGTCGAACGTATTTAGGCCTAAAGAGGAAAGTTGTTGAAATCCACCTGCCCCAAACGTCATCTCAGATACCTCATTAAACGCTTGTTGCAGTTCCAAATGCTTCAGACCCCGTAACTGTCCTAAACGTTAGAATTGATCTTCATTCAATTGACTTCTCTTGAGGACTAATTTGACCAAAATAGTAAGAGAGAGTATCTAATCGGGCCAAGTTCACAAACATCCTGTCAAGTGAAGTCGCTGAAGGAGTTCAGGTGCTTTCCTCTTATCTTTGTTTAAAAGATTCAATATTTCTTTTTTGGCGGCAATTAAATGTAATGCTTATAGTTTTGTCAACTTCTCAATGGAAGAGCAAAGAAGCCTCACATCTTCACTTCTCAGCATTAAGATATTTAGCCTACGTAAATTTGCCAGTTTCCCGAGTTCTTCTAACAACTGTTCTCTTATCCATTGCTTTCCATCAATATACTTCGTTGGACTGGGTTTAGCTCTATCATGCATAGTTTTTGCAATGATGTCAAAGATTCCTAATACTAATTGGACCTTGACACCAACTTTTGGGTTACTATCTGCAACCAGACTTCTGTCGAACTTGTATACTAACAGATAGCGAAGTGCTGTTAGCTCCAAAATATCATCTAGTAGTTCATGCATGGGTATCTTTTAGATCCAGGGTATCTAGATGTGCAAGATCTTTAATACCTCTAGTAATTAACTCTACATTGGTACCCCTTAAACTGTGGCAGCTAAGATATTTCGACTGGAGAATCTTTTGAGGAAAAGTATCCAAAGAAGATGGAGGATACTTTTTTTCCTCGTTGGTTGTCTTTGAATAAGTAGCACCTTAAGCTTCTCAACAACCTCTAATAGTTTTTCCAAGAATTTTCGATATACCTTTTGAAGACGAGTAGGGAGCGAAGTCGTTTGACCGAAGTGCCATGATCTATATTGTCCATATGGCCGTGAAAGGACAGGTACCATACATTCTTAGGCTATCTTCCTTCCAGGCCGACATCAATCATCGCGAACTCTTCATCTTTTAACTTGGAAATAATGATTTGATGGCAAAGGTTGTGAACGTGGAAGGTTTTGACCTTCCCATAACTTGTTCTCTTTTCTTGAATTACATTATGTTTTACTAGCTTTTGCATAGTTTCCTTTGCTTCTCTTTAGACCGCCTACTCAATAGATTTTTCTACCATCTATAACCGCATCATTGTGGATGATCTAACAAGAAAATGCTCAAGTTAAAAAGACAAGCACGGATATCGAGAAGTTGGTCCATGCGTAGAGTTATCATCCTTCCATTTTGGTCAACTACTTGCCATCTTAATGCCTGAAAGTTGGATAGGATTGCCCTTACGTAAGGATTATATCGCCCCTAATTTTTATGAAATACAAGGTGCTCATTGAATAATAAGAAACTAATCCTCATTTCTATAACTCCAGATATTCAAGGAGCATTTTTATGTTCTCTTCTAAATCAAACGGAGTAATTGAAGCATCATTCGTAATATGGATGTGCTAAATAAAAAACGACAATACAATTAGGGATTCATTGAAATTCTCAAATTTGGAGTATACTTCTTTATTTTTATTTAGGGAGTTCCACGTTATGAACTTTGTACCGCGCACGTAACTTTCTTCCCCAAGCCTGCCACTCAGATCCGTCCATTGAACAGCATCAGGAGCGCCTCTAATACTAAGCTGATTATTATTTCTCAAAAGCTTGCACATCGCCAGAATCGCAAGTGGCAATCCTTTGCATCTACTTAAGATGCGGTCAGAAGCATCTTCTAAAATCAGCTCGATGGATATCCTGGGGTACATATTCAGGCAAAATAGAGAGCGAGAATCATTCTCGGAAAAAAAAACATGCTCGAAGTGGTGGGGAGCATATTGTGCCTTTACACAAGTCAAATTATTGACTCCGGTGGGACTTGAACACATGTGCTTTGCCTGCATCACCCAAGACGAGAGCCCAGCTGAACTTTTTGGCCGTCAAGTTGACGTCCTCCTTCATGACTCCGAAAGCCTTTCCGAGTTCAGTTGGGCGACCTCGGTTCACCTCCCTCATGGTCAAATTCCACATAGTTGCATTTGCTGTCATGAGCGCTGCCGCTGTGCTGCCGGCCAACTCCTAGGATCTTAAACCCTCGATGCATATACAGTATTTGAAGCGACACCTAGACCCGTCAAACGGGTGGGTCGGGTCAGGTTTGGGTCGGGTCGAATATGGGTCAACCCATATTCGACCCATTTAACCCGTTTTGACCCATTTTCATGCAATGCAAATATAGTGACCCATACCCAACCCGACCCATACCCGACCCGTACCCGACCCGACCCATATTACTAGAACACATTAATAATTTAGGAAAACTCATACCCATCCATTTAATTCATTTTAACCTCTTCACATGTATATGTTATTAGAATAAAAACTCCACATCAAATTAAAAAAAACAAATTAAATAATAAAAACTCCATCCTTAAGATGGACAACGGATTGTGAACCAGGAAATGAAGTAGTTGATGTCAATATGGTAAGTCCAAAGAAAAATCTATCAAAAGAGAATGGAAGCACTTTAACATCCATTTGAAGCACTCCTGCAAGAACCAAGGTTTCTTGAATGAAACTTGTGCCTCTTATCATGTGAACATGACCGACAACCAGCTTCCTGCACATGGGAGAACTAGAGAAATAGAAGACTCCCATGAGTTTGTTGTGCGGCACAAACATATAGGCATAGAGAATGAAGAGATTTGGAAGAAGAGCATGCATCGAAGAGTTCGTTCAGCTTCCTTTTGTGACAAAATGCACAAGTAAACTACATCAAAACCCTTCATTACGGCTACAAACTAAGGAATGATCACAATCTCAACAATGATGAGAAAACACCCAAAGCAGAGACAAGCCATTCAAAATTTTCAGTTGTAGATATTAACAGGGTGTTACAAGAGTTCCTCTTGCCAATGAGCCAAAAAATCACTTGCCACCAAGAGATATAGGCGATCTATTAACGTCATAATCGATTATGTGATGATGACACGAGTTCCCCAAACAATGTTACGATATGATAGCCAGGGAGCGCCAAGAGTAAAGTTGGAAACTCGAAAGCCAATTCGAAGGCTGCGAGTCCACAATTAGGAGCATCACAACACCCAAACAAGTTGCACAAATTGACCAAGATCTTCGGGCTCGGATTACCAAAATGGGACTATGGGCTTTTACTATTATGTCTACCCCATTGCGAAAAAAAAAACCTTAATATTCAGCAAATCAACATTAATCAAGTAAATGATAACCATATCGTTTGATGTAATTCCATATCCCCAATCATTTCATTCCATTCCCTCTTGACACATCAACCCCACCACTCCCTCTTTGGAAACACAATTCTGCAAATAACTATGCATTGGACATTTCATTCCATTCCTACCATCGCCACCACCACCAATAACATAGTGGACCTCAAAGAAAAGAGGGACCAAAAACATATTTGAAAAATTATTGAGACAATTCACTTTCTTTGGAAAGCAAAGTTCCAAAGAACGAAAAAACAAGGACCTTGAAGAAACTTCCCCTGCAAATGAATGGAGGTTAGCTTTTCAATTATCTTTTTCCAAGCTCCCGCATCGAAAACGACACAATCCCAGTAAGCAACCTCTCAAATCAGACAGATTGGACAGGCTAAAACAATCGTGGGTAAGCAGTGAGCCATTTTACATGCCACTTAAATTCGTCTTCAACAGAACAGCATCATAATTTTCAAGAAAACAAAAAGAGCAAAAGAACTGCGATTCACCTCAGCGAGCTTGTCGCCTTGAGACTGAAACGATCGGGCCAATTGCTGGTGATCAGGCGACGATGACGGGCCGTCCTCGTCCAAAGCCGGGGCTTTTGACGCGGGTCGTTCTCGACTCCCGAGACGCCGGCGCCTTCCCGTCTTCGCCGGTGGGTCGTCTTGTTCGTCGAAAGGGAGATTTGGGTACTTGGAAATAACGGGAACACCGACAAGCGGCGAAGCGCGAGCGACGAGCGCGAGCGCGGCGGCGACGAGCGGCCAAGGCGACGAGCGACGAGCGGCCAAGGCGACGAACGACGAGCGGCAAAGTGCGGCGAGTGGCGGCGAAGCGCGGCGAGTGGCGGCGAAGCGCGGCAAGCGGCCAAGGCGGCGAGCGACGAGCGGTGAAGGAAGCGTGGCGAGCGGCCAACAAGAAGCGTAGGTTGGGAGAGAAGCGTCGTTCGTGGATGGGCGCCTGAGCACTGAGCAGGTAACTCGGTCGTGGGTTTAGAAAATATGGGTTACAATATGGGTCAGCTGGTGACCCATATTTTAACTCATTCTTTGGGCATTATATATTCTCTAACTCATTTGAGCTCATTTTTCAGAAAAGTGAGTTACCCAAATAGATATGGACTTCTTAAAAATGAGTTATAAAATGGGTACGTGACCCATTTTGCCGGCCCTAGCGACACCTCACACTTTGGTGACGAAGCACTGCAGCCACTAGACTAGTCTTCCCTACTCCTTGCGCCCCGTGCACGAAAATCACTTTCGACATCGAAGGGTTCTCTGTTAGCCATCAAACCAGCCTGTTCAATTGGCCCTTCTATGCCCGCCAATGCATGTCTTATCAAGAAAGGGCCTTGGACGATGACCCATGGCCGGCCGAGCTGGACTGGGCATGGTTGCCGGATAATCCATAAAAAAGTCTCTATGAGCGGTTCTCCCAAAAGGATCGACCCTCTAAGACTAAACTCTTTGATATCTCTTGATTCGACCGAAAAAGTTCCGTTATTGTAGAGGTGGCGCAAAGAGGAAGCAAGACCTTACGCTTGCACTTCGATTCACGTCGCCACAGGTCCTCGACAGCGTCTTCAGAGTCATAGAGAAAGTTCGACATTCTCTTGATGCCCCCTTTTGAGCTGTTTATCGGTGACCTCCTTCGAGTTGGCCTTCTCGAGGAAGTCCCCGTTGTCTTCGATAGTCCTTGAGGTCGTCAAATTCTTTTTTTAGCAGATGAAGCGAGTTCCCATTCTTTTTGCAATTTTTTTCCCATACGGAAGGAATCAGCTTCAAGAGATCACCCCCCACTGAGGAGGTGGGATCCAACTTCCCCTTTTCCGGTTGAACCAAATTAATCATATTTCAATTAATCTTTCGAATACACAGCTCAAAATATGATAGATGGCATCATTCAAATTTGTAAAATACATTGTCATTTCATTCGGGGCATTAAGTTTGTATTTGGAGTTGGTTACGAACTTGGCACTACAGTCATCTTGAAAATTGTTTGTTTTAGTTTTTGATATTATTCTTTTGTCGCGAGGTGCCAAGTAACGCTTACTTTCATACCATTGTTGAAAAAAACTAGTTGTATATCAATAAAAAAATATTTGATTAGTCGTTTCGTTTGCCCTTCTGTCATAAAGTTATGGCTGCCATTAACTCTTCCCCTGGCGTTGAAAATTCAACATTTGTCGATCAATAAAACATTTCCATCTACGTTACCTACAATCAGTTTTTAAATGGCAATTTTGAATTCTTATCCTTAGGGAGAATATTCTATCCTAAGGTTCCATCCATGTTGTACCTAGTTAGAAGATTTAGACGGGGACCAAGACTTAAAAGGATAAGAACAGACCAAGACAAATAACTAGCGACTAGTGGGGCGACTTGCTAATTTTCTATTTTGGGCCAGACCAGATTTATTAGGTGCCCTCGGTCAAGATGGATGTAGAATCAAAGTCCCAGAAAATTCAATTACGATAGGCCAGCAATAAAACCGCATTTATGGTAGTTGGCTAAAATAATTGTTCCCGCAACTAACATTGAAAAGTCAAAAGTTGTCCATCACTAAAAAAACTATTTGATTATTCATTTCGTTTGCCCTTCTGTCATAAATTTGTGGCTGCCATTAACTCTTCCCCTGGCGTTGAAAATTCAACATTTGTCGATCAATAAAACATTTCCATGACGCAAATATTGATTTCCATTTATGCTCTGACTTGTTTGAATAGATGCCTCCTTTGGAAACCATTGCCATTGCCAGTAATGACTTTTGACATAGAACAGACAACACTGATGGGCCTCGGCCTCCAATTCCCAAAATCTAGTTTTACTTAGCAAAGTCCATCGGCAAATTAACAAAAAGAAGTGTTCTTCAAGCTATCAATATGGCTTTGGTGTTGATCTACCTAAATGCCCCTAAGGCATTGTCAGTAGTCATTAATTGTGCTTTGGTAATATTAACACTTCGGTACAATGTCGTTTCTTCTGAATTCCAACTTATACCGATGGACCCAATGAAGTTCGGGTTAATGGAAGCACAAACTGAGCATACCATTGTAACAATGTAAGGGCATATTTAACAATGTGGGCATAGTAGGGTTTTTTCGATGGTATACGCCGGGTATTTTAGTCACACCGATACAAATTTGAGATTTTGATTACACAAAAAAAGTTTGGGATATTGATGTCGGCCGGCGGGCCGAGGCGACGGCGGAGGTCGGGACCGGCGGAGGTTTTTCGGGCGGGAGCGAATTTTGAAAATACAAATTGCAAATGCAGGCTTCGTGCGTGAGAAGAGAGGGTTTTCTCCGAGGAGAGAGAGAAGGAGGAGGCCCCACATTAATGAAGAGAGAGAGAGAGAGAGGGGAGAGACTGATGGGGGCGTAGGTCCTGACCTTGCAGAGGAGGGGAGCAGGCTAAAAAGGTAATAGTATTAATTTTTTGTGGAAAAAAAGGGGTCTCGGCCCGCCGGCCCCACCGGCGCCACGTGGACCACGTGGCGCCTTGTGAGTGGTCGGGGACCACGCTGACGAGGCGGTCCGGGACCACCTAATATTTTCTCGGTAAGCGATAACCCTGCTTTTGACCCTCTTTCTTGAATTCGAGCTTACTTGGAACTACCTTTACATTTAACACGTCCATCGGAAAAGTAACAAAAAGAATTGTTTTTCATCAAACTATTAATACGTATTTGATGTCGATCGACCTAATAAATTCGGGAGATTTTCCCTTAGAAAATATTAACGAGAGTGTCCCTAGGGGCACCTGTTAAAAATCGAAATTGTGCTTTGGAAATATCAACTATTCAATTTAAAACTTAATCTATGAGAAAGTCTATTTCTGCCGCCAACCAACAAAATCACACTGTTATTTTCACCTAAAAATAAAAAAGAAAGCATGGAAGCAATTTATTTGAAAATCCATACGTTGTAGATCGTTTTGCCTAGGTGAAATTTGATATTAATACTAACTTATTTTCCATGCACGTGTCAGTGGAGGTTATTTAATCTTTTTTTGACATGACTTCACATCTTAAAGCCGGATTACACAATTGATTTTGCAAGCCAATGTTATTTGATGTTAATGCTAACTTTATTTGTTCATTAGCAAATAAAAATTGATATCGATTAGAATCTTAGCAGTTATATTGTTATAACGTATCAACAATAATAATTGCAGCTTGTCTTTAGTAAAAAACTAATCATATACAGAGCATTCAAAAACGACGCACCATCTAGACCACCCAATCACTCTCTATCGCGCATTCCCATCTTCATTAACTTCTTTGACACGATCCATCCGCTCTATATACACGCAACCACACTCGGCGACTCCTCTCGCATGCATTTCGCTTCACAAAAACCAAAACGAAACGCAGAGAGAGAGAGAGACCACTGACGACGATGGAGAGGATTCAGGTGCTTGTGGAAGCCGTCGTTAGTACGACGAGGAAGGTGGTCTCGGATATGACGACGTTGTCCTGGAGCAAGAGCGTTTTTTCCATGGCGGAGGAAGTCGTTAAACGGCTGGTCGCCATTGGACCCGAGGTTCTTCTCTTCGGAGTTTTGAAATGCTTCCTTGGTATGCTTTTGCCTTTTTCTTTCCCTTTTTTTTCCCCATGTTGTTTTTAGGGATTATTCATGCAAGGCATTTTCGCAACAGCTGATATCTGAATGGAGAAAATAATACACTTCTCTGTTAACACGTATATATTTAGTTACGAAAAAGGGAGAAATATGCAAGTAGTGCAAGATTTACTCTTGTATGACTATATATATATAGCTAATGAGAACTTTTGACATGTTGTGTTTGGGGACTGGAAGGATCGGTTCTGTCGTCATTTTTATTCTGGAGATTATCATCAACTTAAGACCGTGGAAAAAGGATTAATTATAAGAGATGATAGTGCTGCTTGAGGGGAACTGTAAAATTTTCTTTTTTTCGGTGGCTTTGTTTCAGGCTTTATTGTTTTTATCTTGTGGTGTTCGTACTGAATGTTTGTGTTATATGGTCTTTACTATGGTAAGATAGCTTTGCACAACTTAAGGACATGTTCACCATCGAATCTTCATCATGTTAAGTGAGAGTTAAGCCGTTGAAATATAGAAGTTATAATCTTCATAAAAAAAAAAAAAGGTAAAAGAGTTAAGCGCTTAAGTTATCTGCTGCGCAGCCAATCTCGCGACGTAAGTCGTGATCAAATGCATTTATTTCATTCTTGACGCCCATTTATTTCAATCTCGCGATGGAAGTGATAAATTTTCCTAGATGATCTAATCAGTCAAAGTCCATCCCCTGTCAATACAGAGCACCCTGCAAGCTCCGCAACAGAATTGGTCCTCGTCTCAACTTCGCTCTTTATATATGTTTGCAAAAGAGGGATTATTTATGAATACAGTTCAAGCTACTGATATGAAACTGCTCAATGTTTTGGATATGCAAGCGGCTCCTTTAACAAGGTTCCCTGCTCAAGTTCCATTGGGAAGCTTCAAAACTTAAGAGACTCTGTACCTTAAACACACAAATGTCACCGAATTGCCTGTTGAGATCTTGAAACTGCGACGATTTCATCGTCTCCTCGTTTATTGCTACAAGAATATATCCTATTCATCCTTCAAATTTGGCTTTAAGGCCCTTAAGGGAATAGGGCTTTGCAATCCCTTCGAAAGCTCTGCTATATAGAGGCAGATGAGGAGAGTAGCAGCAGTGTGATGAGAGAGCTTGGAATGTTGACGCAGCTGGATTGGTTGACCACTCTGAAATTTAGAAAAGCAGATGGAAGGGATTTGTGCTTGTCAATCTCCAAACTAACAAGGGTTCTCTTTCTGCACATACGAGAAAAAACAGAGGGAGAGAAGGGGAGAAACGGCCATGCATTGAGAGACGGAGAGACAACACTGTGAACGCTCAGAGAGAAAGAGACATAAAGATCCGATCACTCTCGCCTGCTGCGATGCGTCCCTGTTGCCGTGGCCGCTTCATCCTGCTGCTGAGACCGTGCCTCCTTGTTTCGGTATTCACCCGGTGAGTCCCGTACAACGACGTACGTGCTCGCCGCTGCATCACCGTCATTCACTGCCGCGTCGCTGTCGTTCTTCTTGTTGCTTTTTCGGGCTTCATTGGCCGTTTCCCCGCCGCCGTTTTTTTTCTCTTTTTTTTTGTTTTTTTTCTTCTTTTTTCCCCCTTTATTTTCTTTTTTTCTTCTGCACCGTACAAGCTCGGCGGACTCTGCTCTTCCAGGTGTGGTCGTGCCTGTTGCCAGACTGACCAGCGTTGCTGTGGATTCGGCGTTGCCATTCCTGCTCGTGATCTCGGCTATCTTCACATTTGCCCATCCAGTTTTCTAGTTTTCGCCGAGTCAGTGAGCTTCTAAGCAAAAACTCGCGACTTCGACGAACGTGTCCAGCATCTCAGTCGCGCCGGTTACTCCTTGGTGGTGAACGTCCAATCCGCAGCCAGCGACCGAGGTGTCCGTGATCCACCGTTAAATCCGCCGTCCGTCGGACCCAAATTTGGAAGCGTCATCCACAATTAGGTAAAATCCTTATCTGTGTCAATTTGATTTGGTTATTGCCTAATTTATATTACTGTGATCGAACGTGCATTATCTCTCGAGATTTTAGGGATTACACAAATTAGGAGATTTTCCTAATTCAACAATGTGCATATGATCGACAATTCGATTTTATGCCCGAGATACACTTTGCCGGTTTTATCCGTTTTCAAATTTTGATGGATTGGGTGGATTGGAACATTTCGTTGCCTGTCTAATGTGATTTAATCTTGCGGATAATATCTGATGTTGATTTGATTGCCGTGAATATTTATCTATAGTTGTACATAGCAATTTAGTTTGATTCTGTCCCAATTTTGAAAGAGCCACGCTCTTTCCACTCCCTCGTTTGCTATTGCACTCCCTGTTACAGTGTTTTGTTCATATTACCCTTTTTGGGTCTTACTTTTTAGCACACCATACCCATGTGGGGCCCGTTTTGTGTCTTACTTTTTTACTTTGTTCTTCTTTCTTCCCCGTTCTCTTGCTTGTTGCACGAACTGATAGAGGAAGAGCCCGAAGGCTCCATCGGCCGCAGCCACGGACATGACTCAACTCCAGGCCACC